TCGAGACGGAATATGCATCTAGGTGCTTTGTTATTAGGAACGAATAGATCTCTAATCGTATTTTTTATTCACCATTTTCCTGGCAGGCCCAGAAGTTTCTACGACAAGGTTCCGAGATTACGGGAAACAATCTTCGTGAGGCGCCGGAATTTTGAGTCGCTTTCGTGAATGAATACGAAAATTATATGCGACATTTTTGTTACAATTATGTAATAGAATAATAACTATTTATTCAGAGTCGTAACAAGCAATTGAGGTGATATCATTATTTGTATTTTATGAACGAGTCCTCCGTCATGAAATAATTTCGCGGAAAATTTCATATGATGGAGGAGTGAACACACACAAACAAAGAATAACTTTGATGTAGCGGACAGACTTTCTCGTATGCCAAATCGAACCTACTATACACCGTTCAATGGCAGTTGGCAGGGTGACCACCTAAACCTTTCCGCCATTCGTGGATTTTTCGTTCAATTTGTCAATTTAATTTGATCAATATTAATAAACAAGACAAAAGACGGTCGCACTTTGATTACGCATTGATTTTTTTATCGACGAATCAAATTGAAGGCGTAATCTGATAGCGTATCGCCAATTACCTCACCTCCATCGCACCTAGCATCATATAAACCGAACCGAACCGCTAGATGTTGCAATGCTACATATTATATCCTCGTGTAGAGCACGAGTACACTTGGCGAAGTCTAGTCTCAGTGTCAAGCTAATGAGTGTAGAGTACACCAGCGAATGATTTGTATGTCGACGCAGCTGCCATCCAATTATAAAATTTTGAAGCATTCAAATAAGCAGCCTACAACCACTCAAACCCCATGTTTATATACGCGTTATTTGTAATCATTATCCTACCTAGATTTCCTACTATATATTGCTATAGACTGCTTGTTAAAATCGAGAAAAATTTTTAGAGTTTTTGGTTCCGTATTCGATTCTTTGTCTTCTAAGTGCGCAAAGTGCAGTGAAAATTATTCGAAGCAAGTATTTTGACCCGCTGATTTGAATTATTTCCATCATCGACTCAGATAAAGTTATTTCTATAGAATGTACCTTTTCTTTTTATGTTTTCTTTTATTTATTTTTCTTTAATTTATTTCACGTTTTTTGTTTTGCACCTGCGTCAAACTTTCTCTACTTCCAGGATTGACTGGAAGAGAATGCTTATTAGCATTAAGTTTGCCTTTTGTTTAGCCTTAAGTTGAGGTGTAAATAAGGAGGAGGAACCAATGGGTGTACCCGTGACCGTTATTGTGTTTTCGATTAATGATCTTAATTGTATACAGTAATAATTTTGGTATGCAGTAATTTATGAAGTAATTTTGGTGTCCAACTTTTGGTCCGAACGGTTGATATAATTCCGCACGAACAATATGTGGTTTCATGAGTTGGGCACTCGTCCGAGAAAGGCACCTAATCTATGAGGGCTTTGTTTGTTTTATAAAAATTAAAAAATAAAGTAAAAGCCTATACACATTCCCCACTTCTGGGCAAAGGCCTCCCCTGTAAAGGGCAAAAATATATATAAGGGTAAAAATATACAAGGTAAATATAATGATGAACGAAGATGTTTACGAAGATATGTGAAGTTTGATAGGCCGGTGGTAGGTCACTACTTTTTTTTTTTCAATATGAGTTTAAGGACAATTGAGACTTGTCATAATATGTCATGCTTTGTTCTTTCTCTCACGTTTACGCATTGTAATTAGATTCGAATAACGACGTTGGTTCCCAATCTAAATATTTTTTAAGTATGCTTTTTAAACAATTATAAGGGTACGTAAACTAAGAAGGTTTCATTTGGAGCGGACTCATTTTCACACGGCTTGAATCGCGGCCGAATTTAGTCATAAACAACAGATGTCGGATGGCAGGTTGACTTCCTGCCACAAATATTTTGTTACATCCCTGTGCATTAAATTTGTCGTAATAAGGTCCGATAAAAACGGCTTCCTGTGCACAAAATGCAACTCTGTTTTCTTTAAGATTATCTTATCGGCTTAGTTATAGAATAAAAATAATATTTTGAGATTAAAAAAAAACTTATGATTTATACGTCGAAGTGATTATTGCAATTAGAATTTAATGCAGTCAACTCGAACGTTTGACAAACACAAGTTACTGATTAAGTAATTCTTTTAACCAATTTAATTAGTGAAAAGACCAATACATTTACATATCACATCTCATCTTTAGTGTGAGTGTAGGGGCTTTTATTGTGAAGTCTAATAAGTCTACTTTGGGACATGGAAGTACGCAACATGATGTTATATCGTAGACCTATGGCAGATAGTCTAGATTCAAGGCTAAAAAAGTTAACTCCTTAAAATCCTGGGTGATCCAGCAATGCTATAAGTACAAGAACAAATTTGGAGACCGTGAACTCAACGGTACGCATTCCCGAAAGTTGTATTAAATCTTAATGTTGTTCATTTGTTATCAAGTTTTTCCTGGGTTATTCACGAAACTCTTAATTTATTTTTCTATTTTTTACAAACAATGCCGTAATGCCAATACTGTGTAAGGACGTTTTGCATACATCAAATTCACGTGGACAAACACCCAGACCCTTAACGATTATCTATGGGTTATAATTTGGTAGTTTTTGACGTTCAATAAGAGCTTAAAATAAGCCTATGTTGAAGAAAGAAATTTTGACTTAACTTGACCTGATAATTATCTATCGTTGTCCCATGTGGGTATCGAACCCACGCTCACCGGTGCCGAAGCCGATACATTGGCAACTCCATGGAGTCACCAAAATTTGGTTAGACCTCGGTTTTCCTTGCCTCATCGAGAACGTTTCCAGGCACCGAACAGATGGGCATGGGTACTAATGAGAAGCCACCTAAGCGGCTATAAACACACCAAAGAATGCCTGGTAAACATCTGATTTATATTTAGCAGATATGGAATAAAGCAAATGTCCAGCTTGGCAACCCCATTTCGACGGACACAGTGATAGTAATGAACGATAACGCGAAGTGATCATACGCGTGCAACTCGTATTTCGTGCGTATCAATTGGTATTCATCGATTAACGTCATAACATATTATGTTTATTGTCTGTGATAACGGACGAGTCGCTCGAGTTTACGTTGTGTAGCACCCCCGACGAATTGTACTACCATATCAGGTCTCAGGGTGCCGCGGAAGAATCTGTTCGAAGGAAATCACATTATAAGATCGAAATAGGCTTGTGGTTCACGTGGTTGTTTGTGTGAAGAGTGCGTGTTATTTAAAAACAATTGGCGTATCCTACAAGCCCTTGTTAGTGGCTAGGTAATGTAAAAAGTAGTTTTTTTTTTAATTTTTCGTTCCGTATTGAAGAATCTTTTGATGCAATAATTCGAATGCACCCGTTAATTTACAATTATTAAGAATATACTATAATATACTACATTCATCTCTATCAACTCGTTAAAAATATGAGTTGATGGGAGGAGAACAATGGCAAATTACAAAACGGGCAATTATTATTTCACATTACACCCCTGACTCCCTGTCTACCATATTTTCATGGAATGTATAATGAGCCGTACAGGAGACAAATATTTCTATCGCAAAATAATTTTATTTCATTTTATGTTGGCTGGTATAACAGTGTCTCTCAATTTCGCCTCTGCTGAAAAAGGTTCAGCAGAAGCCAAATATACAGGCCTATACAAATATGAATAAAAAAACCGTTTAAATCGTACTTATTGGTTATGCTTTTGTTTATTATTATCTTGTTATTTAAAATTGTATTCTCTAGTTATTATTGGGGTTAAGTCTTTAAATGTGAAATGTCCCTCTTCATCAAATAAAGAAGCACCCCCTAGCAATTACTGACTTGACAACAGGAATATATGTAGCTTCGTCTATCTTTTTGTGCAGCAAACATATTCATTTAATACGCCTACTGAGTTTACTACTCAAACCAGTCCGCTAAGGGCGATGATGTATCCATTATTTCGCAAGATTACGACATCCACAGATGGCAAAGCTCATAATGCATATATTAACAACATTGCTCCGTGTCTATTGATTTTTATACTGTACTTGAGTAAGTTTAATAAATCGGCTTCAAATGTACATGTAAATGATTTGATGCTATTAATTTATGTGATGGGTATAACTCTAATGCTTCTTCGACTTTTAAAATATAAGGTTATACTTTGATTAACTTGTATGATTATTTTAAGAGTATAAATTGTTCATTTCATAATCCGCCTAGCGATCATTCTGCTCTCTAATATCCGACCGCATACTACGTGACGCAATTAAAGGAGGATGTTTATTATCTGTGATGATGTCACGCACCACCTTCGGCTGCCATAACGATTGACCGGCTCGACGGGGACAAAAGAGACCATGACCTAACCAGAGACCAGGACCACAGAGGCCGGCGTAAACCATAAATCAATAAAAAGTGTTTTTCTTGCGGCGAGTTAACCGGAGGTCCGTGCGTCCGGTACCGTTTGTTTGTTTAGTATCCATACTGCGGTTCCGTGGCGATATAGCCAAAGAGCTTTAATATACAGTAGAATCCCGATTATTCGAACATCGATTATCGGGATATACACGATTATCCGGATTCATTTTTCACGGCTCTAATTACCTACTTAGATATGATTTGATGGCGCGTCAGAGATTAATCACAAATTATTTCCAACCAAAATTTTAAATTACATAGATTACTCGGTTTTGTTTGACATCGTATTGTCTAAATGACTTATGTAAAATCCTTTTATAAAAAAAAGTTATAAAAATTTAATTATTGATTTGACTTTGAAATCGATTATTCGGTTTTTCGTTTATACGGAATACCCCTACGGTCTTATTTGATTCAAATAAACGGGATTCTACTGTAAGCCTATAGAAACGGAAACACACGTTTTCGAATCATAAGTCCGAACACGCTTGCCCCGCCTCGTTGTAATAGAAAAAAAAAATGTTACAGTCGGCCGGCGGCAATGAGTGAGTCGCGGTAGCGGCGGTCGGTGATGCAGCGCACCCAAGCGGGCGGCGCCCCACTGCCGCAGTTGGCCGTCCCCGCTCACCAGCACTACCGTCCCCACGTGCACGCGCACACGCGCCAACACGCACACGCGCACATCCTCTACACGGACATAGATGACCAGGTGAGGTGCCCTGTCTGTGCTCAACTCCACGCCAAAGTTTGGATGGAAGGGGATAGGATAGCTGTGATAGCCCCTTCCTTCTACATTGCACTAATAATGCTTTAGTCTTGTGCCAAGCCTCGACGACAGAGGGAGTCATTTTTATGAGAGGTCAGATTTTATTGGATTTTATTGGAGTTATTAGAGGGAACAATACATATGCGTACTAGAACCTTTTTTCGTGCCTTAAGGAAAAATACCTATTCTTCAGCTACTGGATTTAGCGAATCGAGAATTGGGAACCATTGACAGGAACATTATAATGTATACACCTACTTCTCTCTGCCTCTTAATGATAGCACCAGACCTAAACCCTCGATGGCCCTTAGGTGACGTACCATAGTTAAACGCACGCATGAGCACATGCGTGGCCCTACCCACAGCGGAGGGCCCAAACCCGTGGGTTCTGGCTAGCCCACCGGTTCTGCGTCAGATGAAGCTTTAATAGTCTCGGGACTGAAAGCAAAAACATCAGTTAATACAAGATACCAGACCTAAATCAATCACATCTGTTTATTATAGTCATATAGGCATTTTCAAGGCAATAGCAATTAGGCTTCTCATCATTAGGTTGCCAAGCACAAGGCATACCGTCACAAATCATCGTATTTTATCGCCATCACACAATTTGTGTATTAAACTATTATTGCATAAAAAGAATGACGAGTTACCGCTAGAAATCATACAATGTCATACATCGTCATCGCTTTGCCAACTTGTAGAGAGAAAAAAATTGTATCCGGTTAGTTTCGCGTTTATTAGTAATGAATCAGTCTAATGAATTTTTTTTAATGCACTTATGAAATGGAGACATCAAACGCCTACAGTTCGATCGTGACCTTTGGTGTCTCTCAAAATGTTAATTGAATAGATAGAAATAAAATGGGTAAAATAATATTAATTATAACTGTTGTACGTAACTTTGTAAGAATGAGATGGCTTATTCTGTTCACGTGTCACGAGTTTATTTAGTCCGAGACGTGAGGGACTTGGGCTATGACCAAGCTACACAATGTGTAGTAAAATAGATAATCAAAAACTTCCACAACAACATTAATTAAATAAACTGGAGCCTTGTTTTCTGACAACTGAATGGTTTCCTCTTATGTGAAATAAGCTAAATATTATTTTTTGGTGAAATTGGAAATTTTTTATTAGACAACGGGACAGTGCGTGATAATCATTATATGTTATCAAAATGCTTTAGCTTTTGTTGGATTTCCAAATTTAACTAGCGTATTTATCATAATATATTGAATCACTGCAACCGATAAAGATGGTGCAAAGCTTGCTGTTGCAAGAATGGCCAAGTAAGTCTGGGGAAGTACCACGACCTCACAGAAGACCGTTGTGAAGCATAAGTCTTATACTTCTGCGTTTCTTCGGGTGAGTGGGGTAGCTAGAACCCTCTCGCTTGCGACCTTCTCACATAATAAATAATTTCCAGATTCCGGCGTCGGTGATCAGCAGCGTAGGAACGGTGAGCCTGTCCCAGTCGTCGACCAACCCGACGCCGAGCACGGCGATGGCGAATCCAACGAACCCAACGAACCCGGGCAACTCGAGCAGCAACGGGCAGGGCGGCGCCCAGCAGCCGGCCGCCGCGCCCGTGCCCCGGAACCTGCCCAAGAAGCGCAAGTTCGACCCCTCCGAGTTCGAGGAGATCGAGAGGAGCTGCGCTTCGAACGTGACACCCGCCGCCGGGTACACCGCCCCCGTGCTCCCCTCCCCCATCGCGCACCGCTCCCCCCCGCCGGTCGAATGCAAGCCGTTCTCCATGTACCCGAACATCGACCTATCCGAGTGGCGCGACCACCGGGTGCTGGCCAAGCAGCGCGGCCTGTACGTGCCCGGCGTGATAAGGCAGGCGGACGGCTGCACGGTGGCCGTGGAGCTCGACGGCCACGAGGGCGAGACGGCGCACTACGGCGACGTGTTCGGCGCGAACAAGTACGACGTGATAAGCGACGCCAGCCCGCAGCTGAGCCACCTGCAGATCGGCTCGGCGTGCGTGGTCCGCACCTCAGACCCGACCAGGGAGGGACTGCAGAGCGTGTTCGTCGAGGGCCTAGTGTACGAGGTGCACAACTCGCCGATCAGGATCCGCGTGAGGGTGAGCGCATTGTCGAGTTTTCCCTTTGAACGGTTGTTGCGCTAATGGGCAGGGCCGTCTGGGAAAGTAATAGCGCATAAGACCGGCGTGATGTGACAGTTTATGTTTAGCGGTTAATTCTATTCTGTCTGTGCATACATATTGTTACAGCTGCTTTATTCGTATTTATCTGTCAATAGAGATGAATCGTACGGAAGCCGGTTATAGTTCGAATGAAATAATATCACTAGAATAAGCACAATGCTGTACTGAAGAAATACTTTTCTTACTTGTACTTTACTTACAGGATAGAAGAGACTTATCACGTGCTGTGCATCGAAGGAAAACATGAATAGGAAACCGTTACATTGTCGAAATGATTACAAAAAAATCTTTGTTTTTTTTTTCTTCGACGATATGCCACCAATCCGCAGTGGGGTCGCGTGCCGTACTACGCCCCGACAGCGTCTGTACTGTTGCCTCTGGCCGGCAGTGGGACATGAATAGGCTTCTTACTGTTTAAACGTCATCTATGCCCGGTTCCAATATTCAACGAACGGCCGTTAGTTACATAACTTCGTAACTTTCATAGCGACTCGTTGTAACGTCTTCATAATGACAATGTAACTAACATCCGTTCGTTGAATATAGGAACCGGGCCCTAACTGTGCCTCATCCCCAGGTGTCCGACGGCGAGATGTGCAAGGACACCGTCGAGGTGAAGCGGGCCGACATACGGCTGCTGCAGCCGCCCTGGGCGGACGAGCTGGAAGACGCTGACTCGCACGCGGCCGCCGCGATGTACCCGCAGGTACTGCGCGCGCACCCGCCCACGCAGGTACGGCACCGCCACGCACTTTGGTGCACCGTCAGTGTCGCGACTTGTGTCGCCTCGGGACGCTGGGGGGTAGGACTGTAGTCCATACGTATGCAAAAATGCTTTTCATACTCTGTTGTGCCATACGGCTATGACCGGAAACAAAAAATTATAATTTTTTTTCTGTGAAAGAAAACAAACATAACATCTCACGGCCTTTTCAAAGTCCTCTTTGGATATCATTTAACAGACATGTTATAAATATTTCGTTTTTTGTGCACTTGCAGAAGTATATTGTCTGCATTGATGATCGTTTTCAAATCATAGTAGTTTGTGTCTCAGTTGACGTCCATTCAATATTCCGTAAGGCATTATTTTCTTCAACTGTGTAAGATATGGGCTAACAGAAGACCAGCGTGATGCTTTCGCGTGTTGTCTGGTGATTGAGTCAACTGGGACCCAAGTTTTTATAGTTTGCCAACATATGTGCTGTACTTGCACATTTCCTTGACGTCACGTGATGCCTAGCTGTCCAAATAAAGAAACGTAGTATAGTCGCGTCCAAATCGCACAGATCGGCTGCCTGAAAAAAGAAGCGCCGTAGTACAGTCGCGTCCAAATCTCACAGATCGGCGGCGACCACTTCTACACGTCGTCGCCTATGTCGAGCGCGGTCGCCACGTCGGGCCTAGCCAACGGCACGATGGACGAGCTGAGGAAGCGCGCCTTCGACGACTACGGCGAGAGCGACGACGAGCTGCGGCGCGAGGACATCATGTTCCCCACCGACGCCTCGCACATGGGTGAGTGCCGGGCTAGAGCGGGACGGATAGCTCTGTCGCCTTCCCTCTCTAACCGATACTGTAGGGCAATGTGGCGAGCCCCAACGACGCCTCGTATATGGGGCGTGCTCGGCTAGATGAGAGCGGATGGAGCTCTGTCGCCTTCCCCCTCTAACCGCTACTGTAGTGAAACAAGGGAAGGAAACAAAAGGTCTGCTTGGCTAGAGAGGGACGGATAGAGCTCTGACGCCGTCCCTATCTAATCGCTACTGAAAGGCAATGCGGTGAGCCCCATCGACGCCTCGCATGTAAGTGAGTGAGTGAGAACGACGGATAGAGCTCTGTCGCCGTCCCCCTCTTACCGGTCCTGAAGGGCCATACGGCGAGCTCCGACCACGCCTCGTTTCAATATGATTGAGTGCTTGGCTAGAGGGGGACAGACAGAGTTCTGTCATTTATACGGTAATCACTCACACCAGCTGAATGATAAAAATGGTATTTTAGGAGATTTTAACTCTGGTTGCTCGAGTATATTAATTATTATAATTATTCGGCTAATTTACTTACATAATGTTCTTGTTTGTATTTCGCAGAATGCAACAATAGCAAAAGAAGCAGCCTCCAGAGTCGTGGCAGCACCTCGAGCCTGCTCGAGCGCAGTCTTACGCCGCGCTCGCAACCGCCAACCCCTCGGTAAGGCTGACTGGAAAACCAACTTTGAAAATGTGTTTCCGGATTTGAGCCGCATATTTGGTCCGATAACGAGATTTAATAGCAAACGTAGGCAATATTTGCTAATAAAAACTCGCTATCTCAGTTTTTTAAAGCAAGATAAGAAAACCGTAAGCGTTGATTATGGAGCTAAATGATGGTGAAGAAGTTGCCACTTTCGCAAAGTTCTCTATAGCGCCCAACCAGTTTATGGAATCGGTTTTTGTAAGAACTATTTCCTTTTTTTGTGTTAAGAGAATACTTACGTTGAATTCGTCGGCATCATATCTTTTTAAAGCATCGGCATCATATATATGACTTTAAATCTCAACTATCGTGTCAAGCCGGTCGTAAACAACTAGCCAATACAGCCAACAACGTTTCACACGTTATGTTGGCGTATTCTCAGTGGGATACGGGCGGACGCGTGATGATGATGATAATGATGATGTTAGTGATGGCAATGATACTGGTCATAAAAAAAGTAAGTGTTCCGCCTAAAAGGCATCTTCTGAACCGTCTATTAGGGAGGAGTCCACCACGCGACCCCACTCCACACGCGGATTGGCTGATTTCACATATCTATATAAATAAAAATGAACGTTGGTCAGCGGTTAACTCAAGAATGGCTCAACCAATTCGGCTAATTTATTTTTTGTGTTCCTTAAGGTCCATGGAAAGTTTTAATACTATTAAAAAAATATAAAAAAAATAAAAGTTTTGACAGAACGAAGTCTGTCCGGGCAGCTAGTTTTCGAAATATATTTTTTGTTATTATTTCGAAATGTAGTTTCCTCACAATATTTTCTATCATTTCATGATGAAGATGATATTTCTTTTTTTTATGTGAGAAAGTGGCAAACGATCTGGCGGTTCACCTGATGTTAAGTAATAACCTCCGCCCTTAGACATAGCGTTGTCGCCTTTAAATAAAGTGGGCCCCGGCTACCTCACTCACCAGAAGAAACGCAGATGTGTGACACTTCTACTTCACGCCGGTCTGCTGTGAGGTCGTGGTAATTACCCGGACGGACCTGCCCATTAGTGCAACACAGAAAACTGTTGCCTAGCCCTACCACAGGTGGATAATAATGACGATGATCGGTGGGTCGGCAGGTCTCAAGCGGCGACGCCGCACAAGTACAAGAAGGGCGACGTGGTGTCGACGCCGACCGGCATCCGCAAGAAGTTCAACGGCAAGCAGTGGCGCAGGCTCTGCTCCAAGGACGGCTGCACGAAGGAGAGCCAGCGCAGGGGCTTCTGCTCGCGGCACCTCTCCATGCGCGGCGTGGCGCGCTCGGCCAACACGCCGCTGGCGCACTCGGCGCACACGCCGCACCAGAGGTAATCGCACCGGGGCCGCAGGAGCACTTTGCCCATAGCCCGGACCGATGGTCGCCCTCGTCTGATGAACTCTGGCATGGCCACGCAACAGTCATCGCGCATGGCAAGTGCCACGACCTCACGAAAGAGCAGCGTGAAGTGTTATACTTCTGCGTGTCGTTTGTTTGGAGTGAGGCAGCCGGAGCCAGCAAACTTTTTTTTTTAAAGTTGCCAAGTGAGCTGCTTCATCTGACGTTAAGTGAATACCGCCGCCCATGGACATCTGCCAGAACCGAGGGTTCAAGATGTGTTGACAGCCTAGTGAAAATTGGGCTCCGGCCACCTCACACACCAGAAGAAACGCGAAAGTATTATACTTCCACTTTGCGCCGGTCTTCTGTGAGGTCTCCCTACGGGTGTGGTTAAAGTCCATGGGCGGCGGTTATCACTTAACATCAGGTGAACCGCCAGCTCGTTTGCCACCTTCTCACATAAAGAAAAGATGTGCAATTCCACAACGCCGTGGTTTCCAGTTGCCATGTTTCCGGCTGTTCGCTTGAGACATTTCACAAAATTTTAGTTCCAGCCCTCCAAGACATTATACAAATTGCAGTTTAAGGGTAATGCTTTCTCGTTCGAGTCGCCGTACCCGTTATCGTGTACGACGCTTAATCCCGTGTAACAGTGTCATGCAATATCCATTTAAAATTACACCGTCGTAATACGTCAGATTCAGACATGCATTATCAATACATATACGAGGCCTATTCGCAGGAGCAGCAGCAAGTCGCTGTCGTCGAGCGGCACCTGCGTGGAGGGCGATGAGACCTCGCGCGAGTCCGACACGACGCCGCCTCACTACCGCGTCGCGGGCCGCTTCGACCCCGACGAGACGGAGGCCGCCAATATGCTAGGTAGCCTTCAAAGCCCCCTGTAACATACCTCTCCCCACCTACCCCTCCCCCGCACCCCTAGCACGCCCAGGTTGATCGAACGTAAAGCGCACCTTCCTGCTCGGCCTCTTGCATGGGCAACCGCCTCTCTCGAGCCCAATATCCAGTGGCCTTGGGAGGTTAAAGACTTGTCCCCCGCACCACGGAGCCCCAACGTCAGGTTGCCAATTGCCATCTTTTCACATAAAACACTTCTCACACACAATAAAAAAAATAAAGACTCTTTTTAGGGTTAAGCTCGCCTTTGTACATGTTTTGTCATTTATTCCAATCGTCTGTATTATAATTGTGTGTACAATAAACTAAAAAAAATACATATAAATAATTTATTGTATAATCATTTGTAGTAAAAAAACAAATAAATATACGGTTTGTAGTTTATCCAGTTATGTTAAATATATGGTTTGTCGGGGTGTACAGTTTCGCTGGGCAGCTCGCGTTCGGGCAGCCCTGGCGCTTCCCCGGTGGGGGGCGGCGCCTCGCCCGCGCTGCGCAGCAACGTGTTCGTGCCCATCTCCTCGCCGCAGCCGCCGCACGCGCCCTCGCCCTACCACAGCCTCATCAGGTGCGTACACCTCCCTTCTTCTCCACTACGCGGCGCCTCAATCGGGTATTCTAAATTCGAATATATTACAAGATGTTTAGATCAACGTCTCTCGATGGTCGTGTGTGTGTGCATTGAGATTTTGGGTGGTTCAGTTCAAGATAAATCGTTAGTAGGATGTAATGTGAAGTCAATTGGAATATCGTTTTATAAGAAACTTAATTTCTTTTAATTGTAATTGATTTTCCGGAAAAATGTTTACTAACACACATTTTTGGAGTTATTTTTAAAATGCGAACACAACTATGAGTTCGCATTTTGTTAGTTAACTAACTAGGCACTCCTTTCAGACCTGAACTAGTCCGGCCCGGTAGAGTTAGTTCACCGATTGGCAGTGTTGCCACCAGTGTCATAAGGGTATCACCGGCTCCCACTTATCATTACCAGGTATGTATGGCACATATGACGAAATAAAATACCCAGATACAAAATAGAGCTAGGTCAATGATAAGCAATCTGACTCTTTTTTATTTAAATTATATATTTACATTATTAATGGTCGCGCTAGAAACGAAGTTAATAATAAGTCTATAAATAAAATTCAACTTCAAAAAAATGCACGAATGTAATGACACTTATATCTTTCTCTTCCAAACCGCAGGCGGAGAGCCGGAACGGGCCGTCGAACCTCCAGACGAGCAGCATCGGCATCCAGCCGAGCGTGATCGGCATCCAGACCGGGCTGAGCATCCAGGGCGCTCAGGGGCTGAGCGCGCCGAGCGCGCTGCAGTCCACGCTGGGCCTGCAACCGGCCGCGGCGCTCAGCCTGCAGCCGCTGCAGCCGAACCGCGCCGGCAAGCTCGACGAGCACCCGCACAACCTTGTGCTGCACAGGGGCCCGAGCAACGGCGCTGAGCCCGAGCCGCCGTACCGGCCGCAGCAGCACGCGCGCAACGGCTTCTACGACGCGTACCGGCGCGACAGCCCGCCCCCCGCGCCCCGCGACAGCTTCATCGCCAAGCGCCCCCCCGATTACGAGGACGACGAGCTCGCCGCGCCCCCCGCCGAGTGCAAGCCGCAGTTCGATGACAAGCGCCTCGTGAAGCCGGCCCCGCTGCAGCCGCGCCCCCTCTCGATGGTCGACGCAGACTCGAAGGACGCGATAAAGCGGCTCTACGTCATACCGCAGAACAGCCTCGAGAAGAAGCTGGTGCTCATTAAAAAGGAGCCAACGGAGACTGTCCAAGTGAGTATAGCGTGTTGAGTGTATTTACCGTCATCTTATTTAAACAAAATTAAAAAAAATCAAAACTAAACTTATAGCCCGGATTTAGTCTAAAGGTAAACACCGATGATTCTAAATTCTTATTAAATAACCTGTGCCTTTACGTTTCCATGAGATTCCCAATCCTTGTGTTGGTGTTTCATATATAATAAATATAACACGAAAGTTTAAAGTTTTGTATTTGCGCCCATTTTTAAAATTGTGTATTTTTGACGGCCCTTGTCGTTGCATCGTTTAATTAAAATCTAAGAAGTCAGTAAACATTTACAGTTAGAGCCGAAAACCCATCAGCTGTTACAGATGAGCAACAACGACCAGGATCCGGAGCAGAGAGGTCTCGACAACGGTGATCACGTGAGTACAGATTGAATTATTTATCTTGTACTTTGTAATGAACAGTCATAAAAACAATTAAGACAAATAAAAAGTGCTATTTTTCCCACCGCCTGGCTTGGATCTCTGGACATAGGCTTATAACACGACTCTACTGCGAATTGGCAGACTTCAATACTTTTTTTAAAGAAAAGGGGGCAAGTGAGTAGCCGGTTGCCATGATGTTAAATCACTACCAACCATTAAAAAGTGGGCCCCGGTTAACTCACCAGATGAAACGCGAAAATATAATAATTTCGCTTTAATCCGGTCTTCTTTGAGGGCGTGGTACTTCCACGACTTACAGTTGTTTAACAGCAGAAGCAGAGTGGCCGCAGCTGTTTTGACATGTTCCAAATATTTTTTTTTAGAAGATAGTAATTTTTGGGGTTTCCTCACAATATCTTTCTTCACTGCCGTACATGTATGTGCATTGTAAAGTGAAGAAGTAGTACTTGGAATTTAAGTTCGCGTCGCTCGAATGGCTCAAACAATTTAACTAAAAGCTATTATATTGTACCCAAAATCAAAGTTCGCTCATCGAACGTAAATAATTATTTATTCTAAGCGAGGTTATGAAGAATTTTCTTATAACGTATTTACATACAATTAATAATGCCTCATTTATTTTCAGATCAACAACGTAGCTAATAGTGCAGTAATTGTACATCCTAGCCAATTACTTCCCGTGCTCCCGCCACCGACGTCGCACACTGCCATAATCGGTGAGTAAAATACGCGTTTGGTTATCATATATTTATGTATATTTTTCCCAAGGGCGTTTTTTGTCGGATGGCTATGACCGCCATAATCCTTCATCAAACATCATTTTAAAGCTTATGTTTGCTATTGATGAAACGATTAGAATTTACATTATCGTTTCAAGCAATGTATGATAACGCCATCTATTGACAATTTGTTTAAATGAAAGTTAGAGAAGTAGATTGAGTTTAGGAATCGTTGTGTAAATAAATGGACTGAAAATATTTATTTATTTATGATTATGTTTGCGTTTTGTCTGGTGAGAGAGTGTATAGCACTCTGAAACACGCTTGCAATTTATTTAGTAATGGGAGTGTACTACATGCGGAAAGTTTTCCTTCGATTTATTCGCTGCACAGGGTGGATTTTCTAAAAGTGAAATTTCAAAAAACAAAATTCACACAGGAGGTTCAGACTTGCTAGTATAATCGAAATAAAAACAAACTATTTTTTTTTCAAAAAAATTGCGATTCTATTCCCTAAAAATCAGAACTTGTTGACAATGCGGTAGTTAAAAATGCGTCGTATACTTTTGAAACGAATTTGTGGGCGTGTCGGTTATGAATGATCGCGCGTAAAATAAATGAGTTGCCTATAAATCACGCACATTTTGACATAAGCTCAAATGAAAGTAATTAATTAATTAGGAGTGATTTTAAATATTTACCATTTTTATAATTCATTATTTATGCCTAGAATTTAATTAAAAAAAACGGATACACTTAGAAAAACCTCTATGTAATACCGAATAAATCGGTTAACTTCGTCGGTGCCGGAATCGGGATTCGAACTCGGATCGCTCGAGTATATTGAATTAAAGCGTGGCGTCATTGATCCCAAGATTCTTAATTTTTATTTTTCTACAATCGTTTCAAAGAATGATTTTGATTGGCAGTGTCGACGAGCGGCGTGTCGGGCGGCGTGTTCCCGTGGCACTCGCTGGTGCCGCTGCTGAAGGCGGCCTCGCCCCCTCCCGCGCAGCCCGCCGCGCCCCTCTCGCCGCGCACGCCACGCACGCCGCGCACGCCGCACACGCCGCACACGCCGCACACGCCGCACACGCCGCACACGCCGCACACGCCGCACATGCCACACGTCAAGCCCGAGGAGCAGATCAAGACGGAGGGCAATGGTGCGTTGCGCTCCTCACGCCCGGTTTCTGAAACACTTGATCATCGTAGATGTTAACTAATCGGCTGTCAAATGTCATTTGAGTAGCCAAAAGGATGGTTAAACTATTTGAATTGATCATTCTGGTCAATTCAGAGAGTTTAACTATCACTTTGAACAGTGTCTCAGAAACCGGGCGTCAGTCTTTCTTTTGGATTCGCTTTTCATAACGGGCGGACGTTTCCGGAGAAATACCGCGATCTCACGGAGGAACGGAGGTGTTTGTGTGTTTTATGGTTGGATCTCACCGCTGTCAACCATCGATTGATATGTAATACACTCGCAAGTTGTCGGGGTTTGGTCGCACTAGGGCGACAACCCTAACACAATACCAGCGCATGCACACACACATGCGTGGCTCTATTAGCTTAGGGTCCATCCATCTCGTGGAAACTAGCTTTTCCCTGGGTTCGATATTAGATAAAGCATTGTATTTTTTTTAAAGATTTTATGACCCGGTAACGAGACCTGTACGCTAAAAGTTTTGTACAATCACTTGACTGAAAGCGTAACTCTAGAAATCAAAAGTTACAGGGCATCTTTGCAAAATTGGTAAACTTTGAGTGGTATGCCCATTTGTTTTAGATAAATTATACGAATCCTTAAAGCATAGTAAATTCATGATTTTGTTTGAAACGCAGAGACCGTGGGTTCTATGTGCGCAGACGAGGACGACGAGGTGTTCGAGTGCGAGGAGCCGGGTTCGAGCGGGGGCGAAGACTCCAAGCGACGCTCGCAAAGCCTCTCCTCGCTCAACCAGACCACGGCGGGGCCCGAAAAAGTGCGTACCTACGGCTCACTATTAGACGTCTCCTAGTGGGTTCAAGAACTATATTAGGACATTTTATTAACAAAGGCTTTTTTACACAAAAGAATAAAATAAGCTAAATTAGCATACATATAACTTCTACTGTGGTAGGGCCACGCAGCAGTTTTACGTTATCACGGGTGGTCTGGTCCGTCCGGGTAATTAACACGACCTCACGAAGACCCGCGTGAGGTAGAAGTGTTGGTCTGGTGATTGATACAGCCGGGGCCCACTTTAATGAAAGGTGTTGCAAATATGTCCATAAGCTGCGGTTATCACTTAACATCAGGTGAACCGCCAGCTCGCTTGACACCTTCTCACATTAAGAAAAAGTTGATTGACTGATTGAAATTTTGAAGTGAAGTTCAAGTATGAGAGCTCTTATATAGATATAAGATTGATGTTTCAATGTTATTTGTTATTAATCAATATATTTTTTTTAATGTATTACTTAATAATCATTATAGCTATGGAATTTATTCAACAGGCCACTATGTTATAGACCTTAGTTAACATCTTTTGTGTATCGAATACAGATAATTATCGCTTAATTAGAGAGTACCACACGTTTAGTACAAATTCTTATTATTTTTTTGTAACTACCTTGTATTTCATCATTATCTTAATAATTAGTCCACTAGCAAAGTTTTTTTTGTACTTACTAAAGTTTTTATATTTTCTCCGTAAGTCATTCGTTTTGTAAATCTTTCGAGAACATGAATGCCTCAAAGGTCATCTGTTTCCCCGCAGAAGGAGCGCCGGATCCGCCGGCCCATGAACGCGTTCATGATATTCTCGAAACGGCACCGCCAAATGGTGCATCAGAGGCACCCCAACCAGGACAACAGGACGGTCAGCAAAATACTCGGCGAGTGGTGGTACTCGCTCAAGCCCGAGGAGAAGCAGAAATACAACGAACTCGCCAGCGAGGTACGCACTTACTACACGAAACTAGCTGCCGCCCGCGACTACGTCTGCGTAGAATAGGCTGAACGCGTAACATTCAGGCCGAAAGACGGATATACATAAGCATATGTATATAGATTATAGCCTATGTGTTATATCTGATGTATAAGCTATATTATTGTAAAGTTTCATTAGAATCCATTCAGTATTGTATTACATTTGCGTGAAAGAGTAACAAACATCCATCCATACGTACAAACATTCGCGTTTATAATGTTATTGTAAGGAGAAATAATGGACTCAGGCTGAAATGACGATGATGATAAAATAAATTAAAAAACTCGGAGCTACGGGATTGGAACCTGCGTCTTCCAATATGTACTGTTGATTTTATCAAGCGGGCACTGCATGCACATTGTGAATGACTTTTTTTAACTTGATTGCGTTTTAAAATAAATTTAAGGTTTTCAAAGTTTTGAAGCGTTTGTGATCAGGGATCTTAGTGATTTTTTTAATCGATCTGTCTATATTATGTATAGTTGTGAAAAACCATAAGGTGTCAAGAACTTCACACAAGAAAACCAAATTATAATTTAATTCTTTTGGTGTTGCCTGCGTTAGTTGTCATTAAAATTTTTATTCCATTCTTTTTTTTTGTTTCTTATAACATCGTCGTTTGCAGGTAAAAGAAGCACATTTTAAAGCGCACCCGGAGTGGAAATGGTGCAACAAGGACCGACGGAAGTCCTCCAGCAGTAGAGACCCCACGGGCTCGATGCCACAGGTAATATTTTGTCTTCTACAAAAAGTATATAATATTTTTTAAAATATATTTTATTTTATTTCAATAAAGACTTTAGTTTTAATAGACTCTGTCAGTAATGCGGCTGAAATATATCAAACGCATAATTCTGCTTTTTTTATTTGCAAAACATATTTAAACATCATACTTTCGCGTTTCGTTTGGTGAGTGAGGTAGCTAGGGCCCACTTTATTTAAAGGTGGCAATGCATTTACCGTGTTCGGGGCACGCAACAGTTTCGGCACGGTGCACGGATGTGCAGGTCCGGTTTGTGCCACGACCTCGCGGAAGACCGGCGTGATGTGGAAGTGTTAGTCTGGTGATACAAGTGGCTGGGGCCAATTTATTTAAAGGGGGGCAACGCATCTGCAACGCTACGGATGTTGCGAATGTCCATGGGCAGCGGTTACCACTTAACATCAGGCGAACCGCCAGTTAGTGTGCCACTTTCTCACATAAAAAAAAACGAAACGGTCATATGAGCACGATTAATGGTTCGAATGTAAAAACAATATCGAGGTCTTTAGTACTCCACCGAAACACTCCGGGCTTTTAGTTTTTCACCGCAGCGGGAATCGAACCACGTCATTCGTAGTCGCTTTAGCTACTAAGCTTTACGGTTGATTGTCACACATGTCACACATGTCACACATGTCATTGTCGCAAATATTTGATTGAAAAGCGTTCATTTTTGTGGACAGTTTTGTGGTTAAAGCGTCCGGGCGCGAATCCGGAAGACGAGGGTTCGATTCCCGCAGCGGAGAATTTTAAGTTGGCACTGCAAAATTGTAATAACGTGGAACGTTCTCGATCGCAGAGTCCGCGCACTCCGTCGGAGGGCGCCGCGGGCGCTCCGCCCCTGGGCGCCGTCTACGGACACGTCGGCTCGCCGCAGCTCAGCGACGACGACCAAATGGTACGCGGTGGTCACCGTTCGCAGCATCCTTTTTTTTTTAAATTGCCCTTTCTTTAGGAGAGCATTAATTATCCTGTGTTGTGAGGACGTCTTACAACAATAGTTATGCCGTGTGACACACGCAAATAGTTGTCCTGTGTGGGAATCGAACGCAAGACCCCCGACGCCGAAGCCAATACATTGACAACTGCGCCACGGAGTCATCCATGCATCATAATCCTGACCTTATCCCACCTATGTACACAACATGTTAATTATGTTCTAAGCGGCTATGGATATGATTTTTACGACCGGCGGCCTGCCTCACGTTAACCCTCCTTGGGAAATAAACCCAGATCCGGAACAATTATCCGTGGGTCACACAAATATTAGTCCCGTGTGGGAATCGAACTCACGCTCCCTTAAGCCGATAGCTAGCCAACGGCGCTACCGAGTCATATGGTGGTCACCGTTCCCATTAAACTTAATTAAGGGGTTGGTCCATTTTGACTGGTGTCAAGCAGGGGTAGCCAACCTTCCTCTACATGATTAAATTTTTTACCAAACAGGGGTGGGGAAGGTGTAAGATTTGTTGAGACTTCCACCTCTGTACAGCGGGTATTACAATTCCGCTGACCACGTGATAAAACAGCTCTTAAGTTTAACAGTTTCATTTGTGCTAACACCGGGATTTGGATTCAGGTTGCTCGAGTACATTGAATTAAAAACGAGCGCCCGGCCACGGCTCTGAAAAAAAAATCAACAAATATCCATATAAACCGCTTCTAGTATACGGTCTCTTTGATGCCTTAAAGTTATGGGGATTCAATAAAAGTATTATATTTACGCGATTACACATTATCAAATTAAACTACATTCACGGATTTATCGCGTTCATTTGTTTTTTAGTTTTATTCCCCGCCGCTTCGAACCGTTCATTGTCACGGGAGACAGACAGAAGGCGTTGGACGTCTGAATGTCCCATAACCCGATATACCGTCACACATTTATATGGGCTCGCCCGTTCCAGATGGGAAACCATTTATAATATAGCCTCGCACGTTCCAGATGGGGCAGCCGTCGGTGGAGGAGGCGCCGCCCCACGGCGAAGTGGAGCTGAAATGCGGCGAGAGGGTGGCCGACTCGGACTCTGAGGGGCAGGACGCGCGCGAATACATGCCCCAGATGGACCACACGCGCCGCCCCAAGCCCATCAAGGCCAGGTAGGTTTCGGAGCGCGGCGAGACTTCCGTATATTCCCCTCCCTTTCTATCATTAGGTGCCGTCCGTCAAGGTCAACTGGGTAAACAAATGTATGCTCATTTATCCGTCTCAAGGCCGCGTCGCCAAATACAACCAGACGTCCGCCTGTACGTCTATCGTCATATCGTTAGCAGCTTAATGCTTATTTCTCCGCGTCGAGGGCGCGTTACCGAGTATACCTTCGATGGCGTCCATCAAATTCACTGCATAAGCAAATAAATACTTATTTATCCGACTCAAGACTAGGTAGGTTACCGAGGGTGGCGAGACGCCCGTATATGCCCCTCTCTCTCTCTATCGTCATTCCATGATCCGTCAAGGACAACTGGGTAAGCATTTTATTTGCTTTTTTGTCCTCGTCAAGGGCGCGTTTTCGAACACTATACGCCATATTTATTTCCTAAGTAGAAATTAATTTCGGCCACATCTAATGCAAACGGTATATTCCTTATAAAAACTTAAGTGCAAACAACGCTTTACAATTCCTGTTCGTACAAACTGGTGAGTTGTAACGAATGGTAGCGTTTCAGATGGTGTTGCATAATGTGTCAAGTTCGTCCGGGGAAGTACCGACGTAGCGACCAAACATACTGAAAACAGCTAAACACAATGTTTTCTCAACACGACGATGACACGGAGGACAAAATATTTCTGTACCCAATAGAGATAGCAATAGAGATAGCAAATAAAGAATTTTATTTTTGTATTGATCTGAGAATCGAACGTGCGAAACTAACGGTGAGCAGCATCCTCAGGGCGGGCTCGTCGGACAACCTGCTCGGAGGGATCACGGCCTCGAGCCCCGGCGGCTCCAAGGTGTTCCAGCCGACGGGCGGCGCTTTCAAGTCCACCCACGTCGACACAGGTGCGGTATAAACGGTGTCCTATTATCGTTTCTCACTTTTGTTTAACATTATCCTGTGTTGTAAGGACATCTTACAAACATAAATTTCACGCGGACAAACACCCAGATGCGAAACAACTGTGTGGGCCACACAAATAGTTGTCCCGTGCGGGAATCGAACCCACGACCCCCGACGCCGAAGCTAATACCTTGGCAACTGCGCCACGGAGTCATGTATTATCGTCGATCCTGAACTCATCGTCATCCTCCCCTATCCCAACTAAGCAGGGCACAGCACGTGAATCGTGTAGTAATATTAGCAGTTGGGCTATTCATTTTGACGACAAGCCGCCTGCAACAGCCCTCTTGGAGTAAACAGTCAGATCTGTAACAGTTTTTTGTTTCGACAGACACCGGTCCCGCGTGGGAATCGAACATACGAACGGCGGTGCTAAAATATATATAAAATGCAATAATTTAGTCACTTAGCAATTATTCATCTTTATTCTCATTTTCCAGACCCAAATAAGTGGGGTCGGTACAATGTCAGTTATGTTGTTAATGGTATTAGTTGAGCTCTTACTACCCGCCAGACGTACCGTTTTTCGGAATACACACCCAGAGCCGGCACAATTATCTGTGGGGTCATCAAATATCAAATACTTTTTTTTTTCGGAATTGAACCCACGTTACCCGGCGCCGGCGCCAATCGCTCGGCAACCGCAACATCATTATATAGTATAAAACAAAGTCGTCTCGCTGTTTGTCTGTTCTTATGTATGCTTAGATCTTTAAAACTACACAACGGATCTTGATGCGGTTTTTTTCCCATATAGAGTGATTCAAGATATTTATATGTATAATATATTTTATTTTATTTTTGGTACAATAAAGTATAAATAAAGAAATATATTGCACCGGTGCGAACCCGGGGCGGGTCGCTAGTATTTAACATTTTGAACGAAGTATGCACGGGTCACACAAATCCCGTTCCGCGTGGAGAAATCGAACCCGCGACCGCGCTCAGCAACCGCAACATACTTCATACTTTGGACGAAGTATTCATGGGAACCACGCGGAACGGGATTTGAGTCACACAAATCCCGTTCCGCGCGTAGATCGTACCCGCGACCACGCTCAACAACCGTGCTGGGAAATCCCGTTAGATGGCCACTGCGTAAATATTTTTAACGAACCTTCACCGCAGGCGAGAACCACAGACAGTGGACGGCGTTCACCGCCGTGAACAAGACGAGCCAGCCCAGCCAGGTGGCCAGCTCGCCCCACCCGGCGCAGACGGCGAACAGCGTCCAGGGCATATCGCTCGGCGCGCCCAATCCGTCTACGCAGGCGGCCCTGGACAGCGCGATAGCGTCGATAATGCACTCGCCCACCACTAGTGGTGTGCAGGTGATATCGAGCGGCATATCGATACCCGCCCAGTCGATGAGCCAGACGCCCACCTCGACGGCCCTCAGTAACGCACTCCTCAAAAGCGTCACCCTGGTGAAGAGGAACATTGGAGACAACGCCACTGGTGAGTTGTTTACACTCATTTTATTTATTGATCGATCCAATTGGCGATCTTGTGCTTCATTTTATTTTAATTCATTTATTGAGTATGTATATCAATAGTCATTAATACATATATATTACAAAACAAAGTTATACAATAATACATCTTTCGCAAAAACAATTGTCTTGGATTAGTGCTCCAAAACTTTGCTTTGGACGTTCTCTCTTTGTCGTACAGATAATTTCTTGATTATTCCCAAGTAACTGATGTTTTTTTGAATGTTATATAAAAAAAGTAATTAAGGAATGGCCTTTTTTTCATGAAAAAGAAGGTGCCAAGGTCCATGGTCAGCTCTGAAATTTACTTATACCAACAAACAATTGATTTATTATAACTTAAAATGTCATTTCTTATAACCTATGCTCTCAATATATAAGTCAAATTTTACATGTTTGTGAGACAGTTATGAGGGGGCCAAAAGTGGCTCCAAATGGTACGTGTATTATACACGGTATCACTCGCCATTCTGATAACTCGAACTTGACACGCTACCACGTGTCTAGATACTTATTATACATATGCTCGAAAAACATTACCCTCCTTCGAAAAAAGTGGCATTGTATCTTTTGATCATGAAACATTATTGCGCAGCTGGTCCGATAACTCTATCGGTCGACGCGTCCGGCAACCTCTTCACCTACGTGCAGTTGCAGAGACTGTACGTACCATCTTTCGAAGCCGGTACGTAACCATTCTTGTCACTTCCTGTCACATGTCGCCTCTCATTGTACGCTCTTGACGTTCTTATTGTCCTCACGTGGCAATCTTTGCGCAGAGGCCGAACAAAGCAAGGCTCAGAACGTTCACAGCGGCCAGTCGGTCATCGTCTCGCAGAGCAACCACGTGCCCAAGACTAATGCGTGAGTTTATTTTTCCTTCCCGATTAAATGAATGAGATGAACAAATATAGTTGGATGTTGAACGAATAGACAGGTCCATCCCGGTAAGTGCACAGACCTCACATAAGACCGGCGTGAAGTGGAAGTGTTATATACTTATATACTTCTGCATTTCGTATGGTGAGTGAGGTAGCCGGGGCTCACTTTATCAAAAGGTGGCAACGCATCTGCAACACTACGGATGTAGCAAATGTGTCTATGGGCGGCGGTTACCATTTAAGATCAGGTGAACGAACCACCAGCAAGCTTGCCACCTTTTCGCGTAAAAAAATAAATATAACTTCTAAACAAAACTTGGTCGTTCGTAGCTGTGAACATTTGTTTTTATTTATTTTGAGAGGGAAATGTGTTTGTATTACAGTCAATGGGAAACCCCCGTGGAGGAAACTCGCCCCTTCCCACTGGCCCCGACTCCTGCTCAACTCGGCAGGGCGCCGCTACAGAAGAGATTGAGTCGAGGTAAACCTGATTTAGTTTTGTGTTCTACTCGTATTACTCCGAAGCATGGCATTGAATTTTTTTCATTCCCACTATAACCCAAATTGGTTTTAGGCTGAACTTTGTTCGTGATAAAAAGTCTTGCCGCACTGTCTTTGGTATTCATTCAATTAACATTCTTCAATCTAGCTTGCAAGTCGCTGAAATTCCTGTAAGTGGATAAGTAACCCCATCGCAAAATCTCGATGAGAATTATCACGACCTGTCCTTTACTCGCAATTTCCCATGACCCAGTATGGGACGGATGAAGTTATATCGCTCGTATAAAAATGTCTTTTGTGACAGGCACATCGACGAGTTCGAACGGCAACGAGGCGCAGTGCCGCAGTGAGAGTGCGCCGTCGGCATCGGCCGCCCCTCCCACCCCGCACGCCCCTCAAACCCCGCACGCCCCCCATACTCCCCACGCCCCCCACACTCCCCACGCCTCCCACAATCCCCACGCCCCCCACAATCCCCACGCCCCCCAGACCCCTCACGCCCCCCACACTCCGCACGACAGCTCGGACGCATTGCCGTCGCCAAAGCACGCGGACAACCTGCCCAGCCCCTCGCTCAAGAAAAGCCTCTTCAAGAAGGGCAACGAGGATGGTCGCGACAAGTGGGTTTTAATTATTTTAATTTTAGTGCTAGTCCTCTACAGGTAAGATGAAACTTAAAAGGTGCCAACTAATAATTATAGAGTAAAAATCAAAATCAAAATCATTTATTCTTCGACGCAAGAAACATACATTTAATTTATTGATAGTCATTTTTTTTAAATCTATTACCGTACCGTTCGTAATGAGGTTCCTCTAACGGAGAAGAAACGGATGAAAGAAGCTCCGATATAGATATGAGAAAGATTTATTGAAAGTGGCATTGGTTTCAAGAAAAGTATGACATTCATGACAGAACAGGCAAAGTCTTTTGTTCAATTCTTATAGTTTAAGCCACATATATATATTTGTATTATAGATCATAAATATATGGTAATAAATCGTAATGTCGTTATGTGACGAACGATGGTTATCATCAGGGTCTTGGAGACGGTGAACTTCGAGCAGAAGTTCAGCACCCTGCCGCAGTTCAAGCCTGAGGCGTGCAGCCCCAGCGCGATGGTGGTTCCACGCAGCCCCCATTTCCTAAGGAAGAAGCACAACAAACTAGGTGAGTTGGTATTTATAAGCTGGCAAGCGAGCCGTGATACCTCACGTAACTTTTGCTTCGATATACTCGAGTATATTTAATAAATTACAGTATATTTAACATGGACTCATCAATCGGACGTAGTGTGTAACAAAATAAGTAAAGCGGCATATTATATTCTATGGAAATTGTCTAGTACCTTAAACATTGAATCACTGTTAACTGCATATTATGCCTATGTAGAATCGCATCTTAGATATGGCATCATATTCTGGGGAAATTGCAGCAAGAAAGAAAATATATTCAGATCGCAAAAAAATGCGTTAGAGCGATGAGTAAATTAAACACGAGAGAAAGCTGTAAATCTTCTTTTATAAAATATAAAATATTAACCATGCCGTCGTTATACATATTTGAGAGTGCGGTGTTTGTGAAAAATAACTTGTCTCTCTTTTCCAAGCCCAACTATGAGCGCAGCAGACTTGACTTAGACAAACTTTGTTTACCTAAAACTAACACTAAACTTATGAGCAAGAGTATACTCTGCATGGCACCAAAAATATATAATAGGCTCCCGAAAGAAATAAAGGAATTAAACACTATCTATCTAATCTATTTAAGAAAAAACTACGCGACATGTTAACAGAAAAAGGTTATTATAGTATAAACGAATTTTTCTCAAATTAATAATCTAAACTTATTCAGTGAATTAATAATGTGCAATTTTATCGAACATTTTTATTTTTTAGTCATTCAATTATTTGCCATTTTGTTCTCTGTTCTATTATTAATGTTTGTTAACTTACTTTTTCATAGACATAATTTTTTCAATTTTATTTTATGATTATAATAATTAAGAAATTTGAGAATGTATACTGACAACCTTTAAGCGAACATATCATATTTGCACACTCTACAAAATGGGTAGAATATAGCGATAAAAATTACTGTACTGTACACCTCATGCCTAACCTATATTTCGCAAATAAGTACATTATTATTATTATTAAAAAGCGAGCGGTATGTACCGGTAGATAAAAAAAATTATCGATAGATTTGTTTCTCAGTGTTCGAGCAGTGATGGCTCAGTGTCTGGGCGCTTGCGTTCAATTCAATGTACTCGAGCAACTTCAACAACGAAATTGTTAATTTTAAGTTCTAACTTAAGCACGTGGCTTACAGGTGAAGAAAAATGTCATGAATGTCATGGAAACCTGCATATTTTCGAAATAATAACCAATAAAAATATTTTGAACATATGTGAAGTCCGCCAATGCGCAATGGGGTCGCGTGGTGGCTATGCCCTGATACCCTCTGTATAGAGGCCTTTGCCCAGCAGTGGGACATAAATAGAGGCCGTTACTTTACTCGTGTTTTCCTTTTCAAACAGAAGATGAAAGCGCCGCGGTGACGCCTCAACTCGAAGCCGAAGTGATGAACGGCGGCGGTATGCCCACGCCCCACTCCTACGGAACCCCGCACACCACCACCAAACTCGTCGGCAACACGTTCTTCGGTCCCGACTTCAATCTGGACAGTTTTCGAGGTAGGCCTTTTACAACGCTTGTATATTGACTCTTTGATTTCTATACAAAATACAGACGGAACATTGATCAACTGTCTCGTGACATTTATATGGTATCCCCATTTTTAAAACATCGCAAATGTAGCTCTGGATTTTTATGTGATGACTGAGAGAGTATTATGAGCGAATTAATTAACAGAGATCCAATATTGAATAGGAATGTCTTTGACCAGGCGTGTTTATCGTACCCACCTAAGGATCAATATAGCATCAAAAATCAATTAATTGTCCATTGTCCCAGTTGCAGCTTGTGATCACAGATTTTACCTCGAGAATGTAAGATGGGATACCATACAAATGTCAATGTAATGTATTTTGTTAATATTTTAAAATATATAATTCAGCCGTCATTTTAAAGGTTTCTCACTAATAAAAAATAATAAAAAAAAAAAAAACTCGCTTGGACATTATTGAAAACTGGGATTAGATTTTATTTAGTTTTAATTATTCATGTGCCAAAAAATAAATGTTGGTCTCTTTATCATTCATGTTTTGGAAAAGGAAAGAAGAAAGATCTTCACATTAAAACATTGTCTTATAAATAAGTAATTTGTAAATTTTTTTAAATGGTTTATAAATAACCATATTCCGTGTGATGGCATCGATTTTTATATAATTAGACTGACATTTGTATGTTTTAATATAAACACAGGGCGACCCCTCACTATCATCAAATGCGAAAAATTACATTGGGTCAACTTGTATCCTTTATTAACATTAAAAACCTGATTGAGTATTGCCAAAACAATCGAAACATAACCTCTTTGAAAATGTTTTGGTAACGTTTTTCCACTATTCAGACTGCCCTGCTGTGGAACGGAACTTCTTCGAAAAAAATAGATTTTTTGTGTTTTTTTTTAATTTGAAACGCTGGGAAGGTAGCACGTGTATCTACAAAACCTGACGGTAATCAGATTAGCTTTGCTGGCCATTAAAGAGAAACTGTACTCCGGTTACCTCACGTGAGGAAACGCGAAAGTATAATACTTCCACCTCAAACCGGTCTTCCGGAGGACATGTTACTTCTCCGGACGAGCGTTCCCATCCGTGCGAACAGCAGAAGCTGTTGCCTCGCCTTCGAGCTTTTTTTAATGGCTACGCTACGAGTTTTTTTTAATGGGAAGGGGGAGCAGGCGGCCTCTGCTCGTAAGAGCTACCAACGAGTGACCCTTTTCCAGCGAGCACGGACCACGGCGGCGAGGAGATGTCGCCGCACACGCCGTGCTCCGCGAGCGTGGGCGGCGTGGGCGCACGGGCCGAGGCCGGCCACAGACGCGTGCTTGAGCAGCGGCGCCACCTGGTGCTCAAGCTGTTCCAGGAGCACGGCATGTTCCCCACCACGCAGGCCACGTCCAACTTCCAGGTGCGCCCCTCAACGCGCGCACACGCGCGCCATCTGTACGCCTCGCGATATCCCCTCGTCTGGAGTTCCTTCAAATGAAAATACGTTTATTGACACACGATTGCACCGTGTGTGGTTATAGGGTTAGAGTCCGGGCCTCGTCTAAATTCCAGGTGCGTCCCCTCATCACGTACATACGCGTCATCTGTACGCCTCGCGAAATCTATTCTCTGGTCTGAAGTTCTTTCAATCGATTGCGCCGTACGCGGTTTACAGGGTTAGAGTTTTCTGTGTTCGGGTTTGTGAACATGATTTTTGTAATATTAGGTCGGGTTTTCTCTATTTCTACAGCAGACAGTGGTACTGGCGCAAAACTGGCTGAGTCGACATCGCTCTGGGCAATTTTTATTTTTGCACGACCTATTCGCTACACATGATCAGCACAACTGTCTCCCTCAACATGCTTACCCAATAGGAAAAGAAGATATAACATAGAGAGAGCATAGATAAAAAAATCAAAATACTTGTAATTATAAACCTACAGTTATTGTTATATTTTACTGTTGTGCGTAAGTAATAATAAACAATGTAATTATTTCTGTTTTGACGCAGACAACCCACATGGACATATTCCCGACCAAGATGTCTCTGCAGTTGAAGATACGCGAGGTGCGGCAGAAGCTCATGGCGCAGTCAAACCTCACCCCCCACTCAGAGGTCAACACGCCAACGAGTCAGTATTTATTTTTGTCTCATAAAAAGTCAGTATTGACAACAAGTAGTTAACAAACAAGCGGACCACCTGAATCGCTGTTACTTATTTTGACGGTCGAATGGATCAACTTGCACTACTCGAATCACACTCTTAGTGGGTTCGATTCCCACATGGGAGAACAATTTGTGCCACCCGCAGAATTTTGTCGGATCTGGGTGTTTGTCCTCGTGAAATTTGTGTATGTAAAAACATTCTTACAATACAGCATAATGTTTTCCTACAGTAAGGGCAATGTTTAAAAGCAATTAATTTAAATATACTTTAGGTCAGTTAATGAAAGAAATTTTGACGCAAGAAAACTTATTTTCTGTAACCGTCGAAAGTAAGACGTTTCAGAGTCCTAAAATTTTTTTGATATACTAAAAGGTCGTAACATAAAACATAGAGGAGCGTGAATTTAAAAATGATTTGTAGCTTCCTTTCTTTATACATGATATATTATTTGAAAGTTGCTACTCTTTTAATTGTTTGCAGCAACCTATTACTCGAAATTAAGAGGTGCGTTATGCGCGTACTAAAGTTTTAATGTTTTTAATGTGAGAACGTGGCAGGCGATCCGGTGGTACACCTAATATTTAGCGATAACCGCTGCCCTTGGACATATGCAATACGCGAAGGGTTGCAGATGCGTTGCCCACTTTTAAATAAAGTGGGCCCCGGTTACCTCACTCGCCAGACGAAACGCAGAAGTATAACTTCTACTTCGCGCCAATCTTGTTAGGTCGTGGCACATCTCCGGGACCTGCCCATTCGTGCAACAGCGAACACTGTAGCGTGGCCCTGCCACAGTTACCTACAGTTGTTATTTTGGGATTGCAGATGTGAACTCGCCGATAGTCTCAGCCGCCCTGCAGCCCACGTCTACAGCCAGTTAGCCTCACCACCCTCGACAGTGTCCACGATTCGCCACGTGATTCAGTCCATTGGAATGTTCAACATAGACACTCCAGATATAGAAAGAAAGAAAGAAAGAAAACGCGCCACCCTGTGGCTCTACGTAGTGCATTTGTGAGTGTAGCACTGTACCTGTTGTTGTTAACATGATGTTAAGATACAAATTTTTGGGAACACGTTATATAGACACGGAACTTATATTGGCGCAACCGTCGCGGTTTGCCAGGAGCGTTTTACAATTATATAAAATATGGCGAAAATATGTAACATGGTCGAAACGTTTACCATTTGGTCCTTTCTCTTCTGTTTAGATTTTTCCTTATTGTCTGTCCGTAAAGAATGGACTTTAGTATCGTTGATAAATAATTATTAATGTACCGCGACGTACTTATTGCGTTTCTGACGGATCCGCTGTGTTTCGGGAGAAGCGCGGTTTGCATTTAGCTCGTTTTTGGTTCAATGTCGCCGTTGACCAATTAATAAATAATTTAAGTTAATAAAAGAAAAACGATAAAAAAAAAGAATAAAAATCTGTGCGCTGTATGTCTCTGTGATCGAATGCGCGAGTGTCGACGGGTTCGTCGTAACATTGGATTGTAACTTAAAGCGTTGAGTGCAAATGTTTGCTGTTGACTATTGCGTTTTATTCTATTTTGTGTAGCTGAAACTAGATACAGCCCCGTTGGTCGCTATTGTCTGTTAGAAATAAAGTAGAAACCGTTCGCACCGTCTAGTTAGGTAAATAAAACCCATGCTATTTCTATTCCTCATTTTAGAGTCTGTAGTTTCAATGGAAATCCTTGAGGCTGCCTACACCGTCAAATTATATTTCTATTCTATATTTAAATTTAACTAAAATTAAGTATAAAATTCGTGCAAATATTCATGATTTTATGTTTCTAGTGTTGATAAAATTGTTTATTATACATATTCTATATTACTATTAATGTGCGTCATCCATTGGTAGTGATATAGAAGCATAATAATTATATTAGTATAATTGTTATTTACGCAGGCAGTCTCAAGTTTGTTTGTATGAACTCCTGATGTAGCGAGCAGTTGAAGTCTTAATGTACACTTCATTTCCTCATATCTTGCACATTACTCATTACGGGCACGATCTCAATATCTTTATTTGTAAGTCTAAATGTTGGATTTGTGTAGGCTTGTGTGTTAAGAGACGTTCTCCTTTCATGCCGGCTAGTGAAGTTACGTCTGCTGTAGTAGATACGTGTGCGGTTTAGGGTGCGCGTTGAGTTTTTTTTTTTTTTCAATTCTTAGCTCAAGTAGCGAGAGACACCGGCCGCCATCTTGTGAATGTTATTGGATCGGCTGCATAGAAACTTAAGTGCGCCAGAGTGAAGATGGTTCCGCGAGTTCTGCGCATGTACAGTCGAGTGCATAAACTTTGACCGAGAAAATCTATGTTCACCGTATAGCAATGTATCACGCGACTGTACACCGACCCGTGGCGGGAGCGAGACGGTGTTGCTATTTCGGCTACAGCGCATACGAGACGGCAACACCCACCCGGAGCCTCGCTTGGATTAGCTTAGGCGCATTTAACTTTCGCGATTTCCGAGTGCATTTAATATCCGCGCGTGCCACGTATAAACTGGCTCGTTTGTGCAATAATAATATTTTAATGAATGACGTCATTAAATTCTTAGGTAGGAAGGGTGTTCTGGACGCGTCCAACGTTGTGAAACCGAATTGTGGACGCGGCCGATTCTTTAGTGAAATGAATGGTGCGATGTTTCAATTGGAGGGGATGAAAGAAAGAGATAAATTCATGTATCGTTTATGTTGTGATGTTCGTCTTCCACGCGTTTTAAAAAAAAATCTTTTTCTTTTTTTAAATGGATATCTACTTATTTAACTATTATTATCTAATTGTGTACAGTGATTTACTTTAAGTGACGGGGTGCGATTTTTTCGGACGCCGTACTCGAAATAGAATCGTGAAAGCCGCCGTGTTGGTGTTTCGTTTAATATATATCTTCTTCATCAATATATATATCACTCTGTCGGTACGTCGCGTAGGAACCGTTTGAGATGTACAAGCGACGGTGTTTTTAACATTATCAGCTCAAATCATTAACGACACTAGATAAATCAATATTTATAATATAACAATCTCACTGTAAATATTAGATTTATTTTTAAATTTAGAATAAGTATTCCAGGCTCTCAAAGTGATTAGGTATTTGTTTTGTAATTTAGAAAGCGCTAATGGCGGACAGTGGAAATTATGTGATTTATACTCGTGTACTTTCGGCCAATAAGTATTTATATGTCAAAATTGTATTTTTCAAATGATCTCTTCGGCGTTTAGACGAATTGCTTTAGGAGTCCGGAATTAAAGTGAATTTATTAAATAAAAATATGTAAATGTAAGAGATATTTTCGCACTGTTAAATCAATCTTTGATAGACGTGTAGACCGTACAATACCAAATAGTGAGAGGGAACAAACATGGTCGATCTCGAAAATTTGTATCATTCTCCGACTCAAACGGACGGTCGAAATGAAAGCGTTTCCCCGTCCAGGCTCTGCTTTTCTCCATTGGTGCTTAAATTTTCGAGAGACGCAACCGAGTTCTATGTAGTCAATTGGTCATGATCATTGTTGTGGTACACTAGCTATACAAACCGAACCGTTGTTACCAGTTAGTAGTAGACATTCACGTTTCATTTCACTTTCTACAGATAACATAGATTGCATTAGGCGTTCGATTGAGCTCTTGGTCGTATATACATTTCAAGATTTTCAAACGGGAACCACGTAAAATTTATTCAATCGCGGCAATTTTCACGCGTGATCATGTCTTTTAATACTTATTTTATTTTTGTATTTTAGTTTTTTCATCAATCGGTAAAGTGTAATATTATCGGTCATAGCGGTTTTTGCGTAATTGTCATTTGTGAAAGTCTGCCATTTTTTTTATCTGTATAATTATAGTAGTAGTGTGACGGCACATGTCATATTATTATTAATCCGAAACGAAGTATGTACACGAATAATTTTCGCTTGCCCAACACTGAATGGTTCACTATCCATTTATCCTTTATAATAACCCTTTTTAACGTTCTTTTTTAGTTTTACCCTATATTACTTTTATATTATATTAATTCATACCGAGATGGTATTTCGTATACATATATAGTTATTTTAACGCAATATTCAGATTTTTGCCACTAATTTTTTCATTGAATAAAAATATCGCTTTCGACGGTTCGGAATAATGTTTCAATTTGCTTCAGTAGCGTCCCCCCCTCTTTTATTATTTGCGTGTTCGCTGAAACGATGTTGTTTCGGAGTGATGTTCATTTCTGTGTGAATCTTTTCGCTCTAGTTTGATAACAAATATGAAAATCTTGTCGCTGCGTATCATTTGTGCCTCATTGTTCTTTCACAACTCTCATAAATATTGTCTGTTGATATCACATAACTAAACGGGAAAGCTTTGTCTGACAATAGGTAACAAGTAATAGGTGGTATGTTTTTAGACTGAATTAACTATGTTTTCAAGTAACAAGTTACAATGTTTTATTTAAGGGATGTTGGCAATTATTACAAAGAACATTTTAAATGAAGCATTTCATATTCGTTATTTATATGGCATTAGTCTAATTGTTTTTAGAACGATCTGCCGCGATTGTAAATATCTTGTTTAGACGGTTTATTTAGGTTTAAGTGTTCAATTTAATGTATAAAAAAACTAATTGAATTAGGAGGAAAAAGTAAAAATGTAATATCCAAGACAACAATTACAGCTCCCTGCATGTTTTTTTTATGTGTTTAAGTATCCAAATAATGGACCAATAGCTTCTCGACCTAGGCAATGAACCGAAACAAGTCATCATATTGTGCAACCATCAGACAACCAAACCGACACTCTGGAAAATTTGTTCAAGCATATTGGATCATTGTACTGAACTTATGTTAAAACATAAATCACGAAATCAATTTTGTGTTTTTATTTGACCTATTTTTCTAATTTGTAAATATTTCAAAATTCACAAAACCCCAAAGTATTGAGCTATAAGGATTTATGCGGCACTGCTATAGTAAGTTAAGTTTATATCCTTTCAAGCAAAATAAGGTAGAGTAGTGATTTCATGCCGTGAGATTGATTGTGAGGTTTTAATGACATTTATTATGTAGAATGTTCGAAGAATTTTGAGTTTTTGAAGTTATACTTATTTTGGCTCGTTTGGAAAAAATTATGAGAGTTTTACAATGCGTGCTCACACTGACAGTCAAAAAAGCGATTCAGGATGTCGCCGGGTGTTTTTCGACAAAAAAAAATTTATCGGTAAAGAAAAATCACTAATGAAATATAAGCCGAATTCTCTGGAAGCTTATAGTTTTCGAGGAAAAAATAATTAAAACTGTCATGTTCCACCCTAATCTATCAGAGTCGGATTTCTCTGTGTTGGATTTGTGACTCAATTTTTTTTTTAAAATTAATAAATTGTTTTACAATCTATACATGTATAACGTCACTCACTTCATATATTCACCATGTTCGCAGTACTGTATATTGTCTGTTCCTGTTACTTAAAAGTAACAGTGACACTGACAAATTTGTGTTATTTCATATTAAGTTGTGACTGCTATACATCTACCTATTTAGTGTCTTTTATTACTTAAATATGTATATGGAATCATTGCAATTAAAACTATAATTGGTAGCTTGACATATGAATCAACATTGATACTTATTGCCCTAATTCAAGATTGTTCAGTAATAAAATAAGTATGACATCCAAATGTGCTACTTGATTTAAAGAATAACTTAAATATTTTTTCAAAATTTTGTTATCTATACATTGGCATTTATGCTTTGCAAATCCAATGAAAGACAGATATACAGTATAATTAATATAAATTTAATTCTTTATAATTTTACATGATTAGTTTACACTTCTGTCTTCATTAATTTTTATTATTAAATTAGGTTTCTCCTCTTCAA